GCTAACTGTGAAATGTGGCATTGCAGGAAGCCATCAATGAAATACACGAGGACCTTCTCTCAGCATGGAAGCCAGGGAGGGATAGGCCTGGAATTGGGAACTACGCATGGCTCTCCCAATGCACATGACTTTTCCCTTCACTCTGCTAGAAAGATTCCTCATAGTAGCAACAGAGATGGGCATAACCCATTAGAAACTAAAAAGCCCACCTTTTTTTTGAAAATAACAGTCTGTAGAATCTCTTTGATGTTTCCTGATATAAATAAAGCGGCCCAGGCTCCATTTTGTCAGAAGTTTGATCCCTCTGGTCAGCTTGCCCGTCCTGCCCCCACTTTAAAACTGCTTTCTGTATTCTTTTTTTTTTTTTTTTCCACAATTGTAGTTTTCCTAGCTTTTATTTCTCAGTCAGCCCATTCCAGTGAGGGGAACCCCATTCACACTGCCTGCTCGGAACATGGCATAAAAGGCTTAAGTGTCCATGACAATCATGGATATGGAATAGAAGCTCTGGGAAATTTCCATAGAAGTATCATGGCACAAAATTTTAGGTTTGCCAATAAGGTTATGCCTTCTCTGCAAACATCTGCTATTTGAAAAACAGATCTTAGTTTTGCTACTAGATTATGATAGAGACTGAATATGTACTCATAGGATAATAAGGAACTATGTGATCCAAACTGCCTATTGCCAACTATCACCTAACACAGGATCAGCGAACTAAGTCCTGAGGCCCAAGTCTGGCCCATTGTTCTCTTGTAATAGGTTCATTGGAACACAGTCATGCCAATTAATTTACATATTGTATATGACTCTTCTACACTACACTAGCAGAATAGTCGTGACAAATCATATGGCCTGCATGACCAAAAATATTTAGCTTCTAGTCTTTTACAAAGAAGTTTGCTGACCTAAAATCGATTTAACAAGCAACATTCCATTATCAAGCAAAAATGACACATACCCACTCAGATCTACACAGGCCTTAAAAACACACAAGCTACACAAACAAGTGACTGAAAATTTCTATAATATATGTCTTCTATGACTTTTCTGCCTCTCAAACTATGCCTAGGTAAAATTGGAGATTTCATGAAGAAAGTAAAAACTCTGGTGTATGGAGAGATCTCTAGGGTTGATTGGATGAGAACAAAGCTATATTGTAGCTTCCCCTTAAGTATGGATGAAACATACTCTTTGAGAATTTTGGATAGTACATTTAGTAGTCTACTTCATAAGGAAGACAGTCTAAGGATTTATGCAGATTCCTGGATAATAGCTAATGGGTTGGTTAACTGGTCAAAGTTTTAGAAAAATCAATACGGAAAATTGGTGTCAAGACAGTCTGAAGAGGGGCTGGGGATGTGGCTCAAGCGGTAGCACGCTCGCCTGGCATGCGTGCGGCCCGGGTTCGATCCTCAGCACCACATACAAACAAAGATGTTGTGTCCTCTGAAAACTAAAAAATAAATATTAAAAATTCTCTCTCTTTAAAAAAAAAAATTAAATTTAAAAAAAAAAAGTCTGAAGAGAAGCGTGTAAAAAGGCCTGCCAAAATAAGTACAGGATGTTAAAATTAAGTTGCATGTAAATGCCTATCAGAAAACATCCATGGCAGGCAAGGAGATTAAGAACCAGGTAAAAACAATAACCTTGTCCTGTGGATGTCAGAATCTTTCCTAAGGAAGGAATCCATTTGCTTATTCATCGAACCCACTTACCATGTGGCCACATAGTAGCATGGGCAGAGACCAAGAATAACTTCACACATGGTCTACCCTTACCAATGCTTATGTGAAAAGCCACTGTTGCGTGCCCAACCTAACAAAGATCAATGCTAACTTCCCCCAAATAACTTCATTTTCCAGTGGCACCAGGCAACTTCCTATGGCATGTTGTTACACTAAACCTTTTATGGAAGGGGCAATATTTTTTCTCTCTGAATATACATGGTGGTACTAACTGCCATTATCCAAGGATTTCTAGAGAGCTGCATCTATAACCAATGAATCTGTGACGGTTTTCAAAATATCTCGAAAATTCCTTTCTACTCCTTACTTCAAGAGGGAAAATTTGTGTCCCATGCATGTGGACTAGAACTAGTGACTCACAATGTACTGCAGAAGTGACGCAATATCATTTCCAAGATTAAGTTAGGAAAAGACTGAGCTTAAATCCTAGGTATACTCTCTCTCTTTTTGGATTGCTTTCTGATAGGGTGTGTGTGAAGAGTGGGGTGTGGGGGTTGGAGTCAGCTGCCATATCATTAAGCAGCCCTGTGGGGAGGCCACATAGTAGGAACTTAAGCCAATGGCCACGTGAGTGAGCTTGGAAGTATAGCTATCCTGTTAAGAGTGCAACCCTGATTAACAGTTTGCCTTCAACTTCATTAAAGACCCTGAGCCAAAATCACCCAGCTAAGCCTCATCTAGATTCCCGACTCTCAGAACTGTGAGGCAATAAATGTCTGTTGTTTTAAGCCACCAGGTTTGGTATCATTTGCTAGACAGCAATTAAATATTACATACAATGTTGCCTATCATCAGCAAACTCACTTTGCTGAAATGGGATTCATGCCTGGAGAATTTACTTAGTCTTGTAACACGGAAAAGCTGCTGCCTTGATAGAATTTATGGTCTATCAACAAAAGGCTGTTAAGGGGCCAGATGGAGCCAATAGTTTGTAAGGCTGGGGTACTATCCTCTGGCATACAGTTTATGCCTTTAACCAGCAATCATTTCTCCCATGACCAGAATGTAGAGTTCTGTTTGTGAGGGGTTTAAGAGGTTAGAGTCTCCACTGTCACTATTATACAGAATAACTGATTTAATTAATAGAATGTTGCTACACTTCATAGATTTCTCTCCAAAATAAACACCATAAAGCTGAGCACAGGGAGAATCTGAAATAAGATTACAAGTTTTGAGGACAGCCTTGGCAAGGCAGAAAGACCATATCTCAGTATAAAAATCAAAAAGGGCTAGGATATGGCTGAGTAGTAAAGTGCCTCTGAGTTCAATGATCAGCACCCAAAAACAAAACAAAGTGCAATATGACTACTTCAAACAAAACAGTCATTATTAATATTTGCATTTAGACACTTATGAATCATTGGATTGTTTAAGGTTTACACATTTAATATTTAAATTTTATATTTAAATATTTAATATTTAAATTTTAAAAAAATTTAAAATGATAAGTAATTTTTAAGAAATAAAAGTAAAAGTGTGCCCCAAGTAGTTGGTTTTCCATTTGCTCATGGTCTTTGAATTCAGTTTTACAGAGGCATGCAGAGTACTGCATTTTCCATGATGTGGAAATATAATTCAATAAAACCTAGATATACTTTATTAGGACCAAAGAACTTTCTGTTTATTTTAAATATCAAAATAACACAAAGAACTAATTCAATATACAAGACATTTCCTATTCTTCACAGAGAACTGAATTTTTCTATAAAGACATTATACTTAAGAAACATGAGACAAACAAAATATCTATTAAACTCACATTTTATACAGTTGACAATCATGAATTTTGATATTTCAGATTTTTCTTTGTAATTTTTCTTAAAAATATCCTTAATTAAAAACAAAAATTATTATTTGAGACTGAAAACAAGTCCAAAACCACTTCTATTTTAATGTACATCATAAATCCCCTTAATTAGAACATTTATTACACAACATGGAGCAGTTAAATATCCAGATTTGTAATTTTTTTTTTTTTTTTGGCAGCCACACTCATCAACGTTTATTACAGTTTTAGCTATAGGGATAAGAGTGATTGTTGAAAGGAATAAAATTTTTATAATTACTTCATAGCACAGTGTACATTGTCCAACTTTAACGCAAGCACAGGTAGCAAGCAGAGGCTTAATAATGAGATGTGCACATGCTCTTTATTCAAAACACGCTTCTGAATCCCCAACAGTAATGCAAATACTGAATTTTTTTTTAACCTACTTTGAAAAAAAATAAAGGTTAGGTTCATCTTTGATAACTTCTATGCTCTGAATATAATCCTTAATTTCTCTTTATAGAAATGGCTGCAGAGACTAAATTTTAATTATTTGGGGATTGTTCAAGTCATAGACTTAAGATCAATACACAGCAAGTTGAAACATGAAGAGTAAGCAAAATGTAAGTACTCTCTCTCTACATAAACTTTCTTGCTCCCATTCTCTACACAACCTAATCCTATTACTTCTATCTTATTAATGCTACTTTCAAAGAGAAAGAGCAGAAAGCATGCTAATGGTAGGAGGAAAGCATTTTAGGTTAAAAAAAAATTCAGAGGAAATAAAGGAACATCCTAAAACACTATGGACTATAGCAAGGGAAATGTGCAAAGAGTAGAATCTAAAAAATTGCCTAGTTCCTAGAAATTGAATAGAAAATTATTCTCACATTATCCATCATTCACTAATAGCAAGTAATATTTACCATTACACTACTCAAAGTTTTAGAAACTTGTTAATTGTTCCTTATTAAAAAGAATACATTTTATTTTCATTTAAAATTTGGCACTAAGTCTTAGAATATCCAAATATGACTTTAAAAATCCTGATTTTTCCTGAGTTCATCAACTCAAGTTATATATTGGTTGGGATATTGCTGCTTCTAATGGGAATCTTATCTCAAACTATCACCTCTTGTTCAGTTTTAGGCAAATTAAAATAAGAAGTCACTCAGTGCAGAACAGTGTGGTTATGGTAACTGCGTGGTTATGATTATCCAAAAAGATAGAGAGAGAGACAGACACACTATTCATTTTATTTGTCAGACTCTTCTAATAAGCATTTAAAGACAGGCCCAGGAGTGACTTCACAGCTAACTATATAGGCTACAATACAGATTTTTTAAAATGACATATAAATCATAAAAACAAATGTTCACACTAGCGCTTAGTGCCAATTTTCCTACATAAACATAAAACAACCTAAACAAGTTGTTGCCTAACCAGCAGGCAACACAAACATAAGACCCATAACAAACAAGAACTCAAAACAAAACAAAATCATTTATTAACCAGTACAATCTAGCTAGCAGAATCAACTAAGCAAGTATAACATTTTGAAAAGGCACAAAATAGTCAAGAAAAGATGGTATAAAATGACACTGTCAAAGAGCTAATGCTTAAAATCTGACTTTTCATCAATTATATTAGAATGATATGGTAAGAAGAAAATTCAGGCTTATAAACATACCAGTTCAATTGTATTGAATTTGTTAACAATTATAGAGTGAAAAGCAATGAATGATGTTTAATTATTTTTAGCCCTTAACTAATATTTTATGGTCACTCTGCAAACATGTTTGGACACTTTAAGTTTCACAGAACATTTGTAATTATTTCATGACCTACCATCACTTAAAAGAAAATCACTCACTAAAGCACCAATTTAAAACCCTACTTTTGCTACTCCTCTTTTCTCAGCAATGAATGTCTAAATTACTCAAAAGTATGCAAAAACTATTACCTTATAGTTATTGGTTATGTCTTGCTGGTATGAGGAACAAATCCTAATCTCAAATGGTATTTTAGGCTGCAAAAAATAGGTGGTTTTTTTTATATATATAAAAATAACAACTTAACCCCCCAAAAATTTCTAAGGCAAAAATTATTTTGATAACGTAGTGTAAAAAATAAGATTATTTAGCATTTGATAGTATTCACTAAAAACAACATTCAATTAAACTTAAGAAAACTGAGTATGCTTACTTATAATTGGTTTGTCAGTATACTATTCCCAGAGTATTTTTGTCTGCTTTTATTGTTATACATATAAACACAAACATTTAATACTTAATCTCAGTATTCAAACTAATTTTTTTGTTTTGTTTTTGTTTTTTCTTTAAACCCATATTTCTAGGACTTCAACTGTGCTTCTTTGGACAAATACTTATTCAAACAACAAAGAATTTAAAATTTTTAAGACTATTTAATACCTACTAAAAATCTTTGGTGCATTTAAGTCAAAACCGATTAGGTTAATAAATTTCTGCACTTGATAAATTATTCAATTTACAGACTAAGTGCTAATTGCTATCTGCTAAAAAATTAACTTAAAACAATAAATTATGTTTATAGAATAACAATTCTCAATAAGGCTAAACTTAAGTCAAAATTTTAAGGATAGTTATAAAATAAAATGGATTACAGGGTTATATAAAGGTAAACTGAAAAGAGTAGGTTTCATTTTATGCTTTTTGTGCTCAATGCAAAAGCTTACATACATTCAGTTTGCCCAAATCCATGAGGTTTTCCCAATTTCAAAATTTCTTATATTTCTGGAAATTCAAGGCAGCAGATTAGTTTTCTTTTTGTTGTTTCTTCATAAGAATTAAACTCCCTACCAGACAGGGTTACAGGTAAGTGAGGGAATGTAATCCCTGGCACATAGTAAGCCACCATTAATGCCACCTTTCTTCTTTTCCACTGGTAACTCTGCAACTTACTGATCACATGAATTTAAATGAGTCCTTTCATCTTAACCTCCGATTCTTTCTCTACAAAATGGAAATACACCATGTCCTTTCTATTTCAGAGCTGGTTATGAGGTTCAAATGAGATAATAAGTGAAAGCATTTTAGAAAACAGTAAACCACTATTCAAGTTTAAGTTATCTTCAATAATAACTAAATACAATTATACAATTGTATTTCACTTTACATAAGAGATGTATCTCAGAAAAATTCTATGTAAACCAATCCCTACAATTATACCATATATTTAAAACATTAGAACATTATTAAAAGAACCCTAAAGTAAATACCTTCAAACAGCAAAGTATTCTTTTCAATGTGAAAATGCAATATCCTCTTTTTTTTGCCACCAAATATACAATATACCATATACATACACACATATATATATACCATTTGCCTTTTTGTGAGTCCAAATTTTCTATATTAGCTTATATATAAGGCAGAGTATATTTTTAGGTATGATTTATTTTTATTATAGTTAAGATTTTTAGTTAAAATCTTGTCAGTCTTTATAATAAAAATCATAAAGATGTATTTTTAACAGTCAATCTGAAAGACTAGACTAACAGTACCTTATAGTCAAGCTCAATCATGTAAGTACCCCAGGTATAACATTTCCACATAAAGTAAATGAGAATGCTTTAGAAAGAAGAAATAATATAGTAATTATGTCTACTGGTCCTAAGATAATTATAACTAAACCTTAATAAATGAGGCAAAACTCAGGTTGGTTTTATTATTTATATGAGCTACTTTGGTTAAATGCTTCAATTTTCAACATTTTTTTTTTGTTTTTATTATCACTAACATGGCAAATTTTCCTATAAAGTACCTTCATTTCTTAAGTGCTTCATCAGTTTCTTCCATTACTAATTGGTTAAATTTTATTCACTAAAAGTTCATTATTTTATTTGTGATTTTCTTATTCACAAGGGCCATGCCAGACTTTACAGTTTACACACAAAAAAGTGCTTAAAGCAATTGGGAGTGTAAACAAAATTAAAATGGAAAACTTTGAGAACTGCTATTTTCCAGTAGTTTAACAGATAAATGGCAAATCAATAATAAATCAACCCTGTCCAGTCTAATCCTCAAGCAATCCTACTAGGAAACATTATCCTAGTGTAAGTTTAAATTGACTTGAAAATATGGAAAGTGCATATCTTTAAAGGTATTCTATAATTTCAATGTTTTCCTTCAAATTCAATCAGTGAGCTTTCACTGTTAACTGCTATTTCTTTTCTCCAAGTCCTCAACTTGTGTCTCATACAAAAATAAGAATCAAGGATAATTATAAACATTCCACTAATTATGAAAGCAAAAATAAAAATCTGGATTGTATGTGAATCTGTAAACAAGTAGTAGCTTCATTCAATTAAAGCAAAGTAGGTGCAAATTTTGAATTTGTTTGGCATCTTTTCTAATGATTATACATGAAGTAAGTAGGTTCTTTATCCCACTTTCAATCAGTCAAAGTAAATGAAACTCAAAAGTAGTGCATTCAATTGTGTCACTAATTAGTCATAACTGCTCCTTCATTAATGAGACGAAGATATAAGCTATGACATATTGTTAATGTTCCTGAAATAAATGACAAAAAAAGTTCAAAAGGTTAACTTACCTTGAAGATATCTAGTTAAGGCTGTCATATTTTTCATCTAACACATTTTTAACTTGTATAATTTAATGCGTAGATCAATGTTTGCATTTATTATTCATAATAACTCAAGTAAAGGCAAAACCTGAATATCTGGATTATCATTTCAATCCAACATTTCTTTTAACATGCTAATCTTATATAAATTAGCTTCTGGCTTTGAGTATGTCAAAAGTCTGAAGGATTATTATACCTGAAGTTATGAATAGATGGCAAGACATCACAAATATACCCAAGACTTTCTTATATATTCAAATTCTTAATTTCAATTAAAAATGTAGATAAAATAAGTTAGGATAAGAAATTATCAGTATACTTCTACATTCTTTCTTAAACTTGTTTGTAAAATGGGGAAAGAAGAAAAGATATAAGGCTAAAGAATAAAACTTTCCACTGATAATTTTAAAAAAAATCCCCATAATATCAGTAGCTAATTCTGAAAAGTTCAAGAACCTATTAAAAATTAGCACTAACCATTAAAAAAATCACAAAAATGTTTACTTCGAATATTATGCCAAATTATGTCCAAATATTCATGTATTCAGTCAACAGAGACACACTGTTTTCTTGATCTGAAACTGTTCTGAGGACTTGAGAAACTACAAAAAATGAAAAAATAGCAGCCCTACTAGCTTAAAAGCCACCAGGTTTTAGCTACCATTTAGCACATAACCATCATAAAGTCTGTGGAATGTTTACTCATGAATGATGCTCATTAGTAGAAATATTCTGAACAGCAGTAGTGTTATCAAGGCCTAGTAATGTTCCAAGGTAAGACTGTTCTCTAGGATCTAGCATTTGTTCAGGTCGGACTGGATGAACTATATTTGCAGGTTGAGGAGTAAGAGTATATTTTTCCAGGAAAGCTAAATCAGCTGCACGTGGATAATCAGTTGACTGTGGCTGTGGTGACAGAATCTCATGAGAAGATGGTGGGAGTGTGGTAGTATGATGCACCAGGTCACTCGGAGTGTCAGGCATCTGAACTGGAACCAATGTTACTGGAACACACACTTCAGCAGATACATTCTGTAATATAGTCTTGGCTTCTGGTTGATAAACTTTGGGCTGGTCCATATATTGTTTTGTTTCTGTTTGAAAGATTTTATCATCAGATGAGTACTCTACCGGCAGGGACACAAGTTTTTCCTCAGAAGTACTGAGAGGATCATCAGGAGATTTTATCCCATGAACGTGGTCAATATGGTATTTCAATTTGTCTTTCCGCTTAAATGTTGCATTACAATGCTGACAGTTGAAAGGTCGGGCATCAGAATGAATAACCAGGTGTTTTGTTAAGGTTTTTTTAATTCTAAAAGATTGATTGCAAATTTGACACTTGTATGGTTTTTCACCTGTATGAAAAAAATAAAATTAATTGTAAAGTGTACCCAATTGATAAAATGATAATTTAAATTGGAAGGTTTCCATCTGCATACTTATAAGACCTTAATAAGAACAATCATATTAAATTAAATGCTATCACAAAAAGGGATAGTATAGTAAAGTGATGAAAACAATTAGTTAAATATCAGAAAGATATGGGCTTGAGTTGTGGCTACACAACTTACTAGCCAAACCTTAAGCAAGCTAACAACTTCTACTAATCCTAGTTTCCTCACCTGTAACATGAAATAATGATAGCACCTAAATGAGAAACTGAAATAACACTGCTCAGCACTAATTATCATTTCTCACTTTATTCCCACTACAGCCTCCAAAAGTTTCGTTAAACTTATTTTCTTCTATCCAAGGAAGATAAAAATCATAACAGAAACTCTGATCAACCTTTTTCTTTGGATCAGAATGAGAAGTAGTAATAATCATCTCTAGCCCAAGGTCTAAATAAGAAAAGTTGATGGGAAAGAATTAGGAGGGTAGATCAGTTTTGAATTCCTGAGTCAAGGATCTCACACTATAGATTAATTTGCTTTTTTATATAAGGCATTAAAAATTCCTAGGTTAGCCAATGTGATAGGCAGAATAACGGTCCCTCAAAGAGGTACATATTCTAATCCACGGAAGCTGTGAATATATTATATCACACAGTAAATGAAACTTTGCAGATATGATCAAGTTTAGGATCTAAAATGGACAGATTTATTGGATTATGGAGGTGAGTCCAATATAACTGAAAGAGTCTTAAGAACTGTCTGCTAACTGAAGAATAATGGGTGAGAGACATGTGATAAGAGAACTCAGCCCCAAATTACTGGCTTTGAAAATGGAAGAAGGGAACCAGGCAGGACCCAGGACACTAAAAGTTGTAAAAGGCTCTTAGCTTGCCACCACCAAGAAAATTAGAACTTTGGTCCTAGCCCTGTAACTCCAAGAATTCTATTTTGCCAAGAACCTCAGGAATTGATAAATACATTTTTCCTAAGAGGCCTCAGAAAAAAATACGACCCTACCAACACCTAGATCTTAGCCCAATGAACTACAAGTTCATAAATACATATTGTTTAGGCTGCTAAATCTGTGGTAATTTATTACACCATCAATAGAAAATAAATACAGGCATGCTAATATTGCAATATACAAATGCAAATGAGTTTACATATCTACTATTACAAATGAGGTTATATATATATATATATATATATATATTTAGAAGTAGTTGGATACAATACCTTTATTTTGTTTATTTATTTTTATGTGGTGCTGAGGATCGAACCCAGGGCCTTGCAAAGCATTCTACCACTGATCCACAATCCCAGCCCCTACACGGGTTTTTTATCCTTATCTCCTTCAGCTCTCCATTTAAAACATAATCTATTCTTGTAGAAAATTAAAGAGAGAACTATCTTGGAGCTGCGAAACTATTTCAAATGATTACTTTTTAGGTATTATTGTTTAATATTTTGCAGCCCATTACAACACTGACAAACCACTGACAAAATTTATATAGATGGGGATGCTAGGAACCTGCTACCATTAGATTTCTACTTGGTTCTAGACTAACAGCATTACCAATGTTACTAGAACGAAAGTGAGACATGAAGTAATACACTATATAGAGAAGTAACATTTCTGAAAAGGAAGTACTTTTTAACTATATATAGGATGCACTGTCTCTGACATTTGATTTTACAGTTGAATGCCTAGAATTAGAGACAATGACAAAATTCAGAGTGCTTTGAGAGCGAGAAAGGAAAAAAAAAAAAGCTTATACTGTTAAGATGTAAGAATTATACGTTCTTTCTATAAATCCCTGACATCAATATATGACATGCAAGGAGCATTCTATGATTGTCCTTGAAAATAAAAACACTAATACAGCATAACACACACCACCAAAAAGCATAGATTTGATTTTTAAAGATAAAAATGTGAGTTTTAAGTGTCTTCCTTTGGCATATTACTAGGCATAATGGCTTCTATGAGTGTCTTCATGAAAATGCTTTTATAAATACAAAGATTTTCTTCCTTCCTTCCTCCTTTTTTTTAACTTAAAGAGCCAATTAGTTCCAGTGTACAACAATACTTTTAGAAAACTGGAACCTGATAGGCATATCCTTTGAGATATCTATTATCATTTTAAACAGATGCCATTTTCCCTAGAAGAATAAATAAATTTGGGCTTATAAAAAGACAAAATCTGTCGGAGACCAGCTCCAACAGGGGGTCTCAGGAGACGAACGGATGGTGAGGAGTCGGCGAAAGAGGGGTGGAGAAACAACACAGACACCAAAGTGAAGGTGTTGGTCCCAATCTTTACTTCTGAAGTTGATCATATATAGTTTTCATTTTGGCAGGCTCACAGTACTTTGTGGTTACAAAACAGGAATCATTATTCAAAGAAACAAAATATTATGTAGCTACAATTAGAATAGAAAAATGTATCTTGGCTTATACATAAGCAAGCATTTGTACTTTCAGTTCGCATTTTGCTTTGAGCTGTTTCTGCTTAGTTAACTTTTAATAATAGTTAGAAATGTCCCAAACTATTGGCCTATACCTTGACTATTCTTTCTTGACTTACTGACTGGAACTGGTGCCATGGTTACGGCAAGTGGTTGACTTGTTATTAATTTTAATCAAACAAGAGCAAGAGCACAAACCATTGTGCACAGAAACAAGAACAAGTTGCCCAGTACCAAGCACTAATCTGTCTTCTTAACATTAATTTTCCTTCTCTAGATTTTAATTTAATTTCTCAAAAACTTCCTTGACAGGAATACAGGGAGTTTTTCATTAGACATTAACAATTTACACTCCACAGCTGAATCATTGCATTTAGAACAAACAGATCTATTCTTTAGAAGTAGTTGCATTAATTGGGAAAGTCATGTTTTTTCCTTCATACTTAATGGTCATATGAGAAGTTGCAACTATACTTATTAAAGGAATACAAAAACAAACCAGCCCATTCCCAGAAACATACTGCGCTCCTCCAGAGGATGGACGCCTTGCGCCATCCACCTCAGTAGGGCCTTGCCATTGCCTGAGTCAGGGGAGGGGCGCAGCAAAAATCCATAAAGGAAATGTTGACATTATGGAATGTATGAAATATATCTGGGTTGTATGAAGATACACAAGTAGCAAAAGCCAAAAAGTAAGTACATGAACTTGATGAAAGGAGAAATATAGAATAAAAAAAATATATTTTTATAGTGAGATTTTCTAGAGTAAAATTATCTATTTAACAGCAATTAAACCAAGTTTTATGCATCTGAGGAACATAAATGAGAGACATAAGCAACCAAAGAAAGGTACTTTTCAGGACCTATAGAAAGGAATCTATTCACACCAGAAAAAATAAAACAATACTCAAATTAATGCCAACTACTTCTCAGTTATAATTCCAACAACCTATGACCCTTTAGAATTTAAAAATGCCACCCACAGGATCAACTATCTTTAGATTAAAATTTAGTACTTAAAATGTAATGAGGGACATTTATTTCAGACTTGATAATCGTTTATATCATACCATGTTTCTTGCTGGAGTGAGGGGAAGATAAAAGCTCAAAAAACAAAACAAATAAAAACATAGCACAAAAAGCCTACTCTTTACAGGTACTGAATGAAGTACAACCAAGTCAGCCAGAACCCATGGGGCCAAGGTTCTAGAGACACAGGAAGTATGGAGGTGCTTTCTTCTCTCTTCAGTGCGCTTTCAGATTCAGTTTATGGGAAAATGAGGCCAAATTGCAGCCTAGGGCTTGAGGAAATCTCACTGAAATAAGAAGACAAAAGTTGGAGCTTTGGACTTTCAAGGACTTGAGGGGTCAGAAGCCTGGGCAGAGTGGGGAGGAAGAAGAAGAAGAATAGAAAAATGAACCAAAATATGTGCCAATTCCAAAGATGAACATTTCCTGAGTGAGACAGCTGGAGACCAGGGGCTGAGAGGCTAAAGGACTGAGTTTCTTCAGCAGTCCCAAGGGCTGCTGAGGAGAGAGATTAGAATTCAGGACTCTTCAAAGTGAGAAAAGATACCATTCCTTCAGTAAAGACCCCAAAATATGATGAACTAGAAGACAGACCAGAAATAAAAAAAGAAATAAAGCAAGGTCATTTCATGCTCCATCTGCTGGTGAGAAGAATATTAAATCTGTGAAAAAACACATCTTCAAGAGCGTCTATAATTTTTAATTACAAAATCCAAAGTTCAATACAAAATTACCAGGCATGCCAGAAATAGGAACAGGTGATCAAATAGCAGGAGAAAACATGGTGACAGATTTACCAAAAATTTCAAAGTGCTATATTTATAAGGCTAAGACATCAAAATCAATATGGTTAATATGTTCATGAAGATACAAAAAAGAAAATTTCACTAAGGAATTGGAATATGTAGAAAAGAAAGTTAGAAAAATTAAACAATTGAAGATAACAATTTGATAGGTAGATTTAACAGCAAATTGGATGCCATAGAAGAAATGGTTACTACCATGAAAGCTGTATCAACAGAAAATATCCAGGTAAACACATAAAGAGATATAGGATAAAAAAAATAGCATGACAATGATATATGACAAAGTGAAATGGTCTAACATATGAATACTTGAATTCCCAGACAGAGTATATAATAAAGCTATATTTAAAGAGAATGTGACTGAGAACCTTCCTAAAAAAGAGAGACATCAAGTTGTAGATGCAGTAAGTTCCACAAGCTTCACAAAATATAAGCAACAAACTACAACAAAAAACACATGAAGTCATACTACAGTTGTTATGGTTTAGACACAAGGTTTTCCCAAAAAGCTCACGTGTGAGACAAAGCAATAAAGTACAAGAATTGGGTTATGAGAGCCTTAACCTAATCAGTACATTTATCCACATGAATGGCAGGGAGGGTGTGGATGAAGGAGGTAAGTCACTGGAGGCATGCCTTTGGGTATATATTTTGTCC